CCCCTTGTTCCATGCGCTAGAATGGGAAGAAAGCAAACTGATTGCTTGTGGCCTTTGTCAATCTCAACCAGCCTTTTTAAATATGCAACCAATGAGAGAGGTGTGGTCAGTTTGCATGTAATTCTATTGGGCAGAAATCCCACACTCCTTTTACACTCCCTGTGCGCATGAAAGGGAGAAAGCCAAGTTATTTTCTGGTCTTTGTTAGCCTTTTTAATCAGCCTTCAAACCTCCATTCTTTCTCCCTAGGCGCTGAATGTGTAGGACAATAAGCTGAAGATTTATCTTATTGAATCAGAACAAAAAACTTAGCCCATTCAATCTCCTCCTTTCCCTAAAAACCGTGAACTGAGTAGAGTAAGGACATCAAGAAAAATTACATATCATCCTCTCCTCTCTTGCTAGAACCGTGACCATCTTTGAAGGACACCACCAACCTAGTTGCAATTATAATCTCCCATTTTTCCCCTCTTCTCCTAGCTAGAAACCGTGAGCTCCATGAGCAGGGGACAAAAATAACTCAACATCTTCTCCTTTGTTTTCCTTGTTCAGCCAAAGGTCCATCATAAGGAGGTGAGCTATTTTCTCTTCTCCTTATTTCTCTCTTCACTTAAATCGGTTCTCATTGGACTGTTCTTTTGAATGAATAAGGTTTTGTCTTGATAAGTCATCTCCTCTGTTGTATGTGGTTGGATTAGAGTTCTTGGAACGTTAGAGGGAAAAAGTTGGCTCCTTGTCCGATTGGTAGCTTTGGTGTGTAGAGCCAAGAAAACGTAAGTTCCTCTCAAACCCTCCCTCTATTTCCTTGTTGTTTTGACCGTGTTGCATGATAGGATAAGGAAATTCATGTTGTCATTCCTTCTTGTTGATTCTGCCCTCTTTGAACCGTTTGGGCCTTGTGCTCACAAGCACACAGCATCGATTTTGTTGGAGCTTGGGATATAGTCTCCCTTGGTGGTCATTCGGTTTTGTTGAACTTGGAAGGGGTAGCTGGTCTTGCATGTCTTAAATTATTTTGACAGCATGCTTTAGGTTCCTTTTAGCGCACCATAGGATGAATAGAGTAGAAAATGTGGATTTAAAATCATGAGACTATTTTTAGTGTTGAAACCGAATTGTCATGCTTGAGAAACTTTGGATTATTCACTGTTAACAAGTTGATAATATTTATTTGAAGTCAGAAAATTATTAGAAAAAGAACCTTGTAAACCGATTGAGAACTAAGGGTAAAAAGGAGTGAAAACGTATGCTGCGTATAGGAAATAATGTGACGTATAATTCTGACTTGTTATATTTTGCTTAGGTGCGCATAACCCCTAGGGTGTGGACTGATTTTTTGCTGCTGTTTGATTAATATTTGGGCATACAAGGTAAGTGTTTGGTGGTGAGACCTTTTGTGACTATTAGCTAGTGTATGGAGTTTTGAACTGTTGCTCACATGTGCCTTTGGATTCGTATTCTCTTAAATATTAATTGTAATCTGCCTTGGATTTGACATAATGGAAATTATGTTTGGAAGTATTTGTTATTCGAGATATTGGTATTAAAAATCCATGTTATATATGGTACTCTGATTCTGACTCTGTCATGCTCATATACATCATTACTTCATCTGGGTTTTTTTGTGCGTGCGAAACATATCATGGCATACATGCACTATTTTCATGTTGTTTTGTGAACTATGAATATTTATTAAAAGACACATGTGTTTGAGCATTCATCATGTAGGCATCCCTCAGGTACCAGGGAACGGAACCGTGGCTCAGTTCGCATAGGTCGCAGTTGGAATTCCCCTCTGATGGGCCAAATGGAATCTCCACTGTGTTAGTTAGTTAGTACGTGCACTGCAGTGCTATGAACATACATTATTCTGGCGTTATATACGCATTATGATTACATCTTAGTATCTGTCGGAATTTAATTTTTGATGCGACTGTTTTGGAATTCTGTATCTAAACTAATACTGTTGCATTATTGGTTTTGTTATCACACTACTGGGATTTTTCTCACCCATTTTGGGGCTCAATTTTTATAAAATTGCAGGAGGACGAAAAAGCTTTTGATGATGTAATTGTTTTGGAAATATTCTATTGACTGCTGCTGTTTTGGAAATTCTGCTGTTTGTCTGATATTTCTGTTGGATGTTGGCTGAATATTTTGATCGATGTAATATTTGGAGAGGCGGATTACTGTTGGAAACATGTTTTAATTTGCTGTATTTTGGATTTTTATTTTTAGCCGGAAACTTATGTAATTCTGATGTTTAATTTGTCAAACACTTTCTGTTTGTTTTAAATGCTGATTTTGGAAACGGATTTAGCGAGCACTTTGCGAGTTCTGTTTCTGGGGCTACAGACCTCCGATTTACATATAATTTATATGCACGTAAAGCCCCAGATGTCTAGTTTTTTATTATATAAACTTTGTGTCCAAAGTCTGAGAATTCAACTTTATATGATATTTGCAAGACAGGAGGTTTTCTGGAAAAATTTACAATTACAGCAAGCATGCGTTTTTCAAATGTTCAGCTGTTTTTCTGTGAAGCCGATTTTAATACAAGGTTTTTATTTGGACTGAAAAATGCAAAATTTTATCGAATATATTGACGTTGTGACTCTAATCCGCTTAGCAGACATATCCCTTGGATGCATACACGGGAGGGTGTCACAGTACGTGATTAGTATAATATTTTTTTATCCAAAATGTCAAATGTCTCTATAGTTTTTTTATTTTGTCATCGGTATATAAGTGATTATAATTAATTTAAAATACAATAAATGGAAATTAACATCAATGTACTATTTAACTCATAATTTCAAATTTAACTTCAATATTGACAATTATCATTTATATTATTTTCTATACTATGTATAATAAGAAAACATGTATCATAAATTGTTAGGGTTTGTTTTTTCTGCGGTCAATATAGATAACTTATTTACATTGAGACTAAAATAACGTCGTTTTGGGACAGAAATCAATGTATTTTTGGAATTATATTTTAGAGTAAATACTTTTTTTGGTCCTCAGCAAATTTCACGACACCCGTTTTAGTCCCTAGCAAATAAAAAGGCTCATCGTGGTCCCTAAAAAATTTAAAATGGACCCATTTAGTTGAAATTTTGGTCCCTCACAAATTTAAAAAAGACCCATATTAGTCCCTAAAAGGACTAAAATAGGTCCATTTTGAATTTCTTAGGGACCAAGATGAGCCTTTTTATTTGCTAGGGACTAAAGCGAGTCGTGAAATTTACTGAGGACCAAAAAGGGTATTTACTCTATATTTTATTTTAGGAATATATAGTGTTTTTAATTTTTTAATTTTTTAATTTTTTAACTCAAAACGACGTTATTTTTTGAACGAATCTAAATAAGTTATTTATAATGTAGAAATATTTAAACCTAATTGCTAATAACTCTAATATGGAAAATCCTTAATTTCTAATTTTATTATAATAATAAATTCATTCATAGGATTTAAGGGCGGTTTGACAGAGGAGCTGAGGAGGTTATAAATAAGGCTTAAGAAAATGTGCCTCAAAACTACCGTGGTAGAGGTAGAGGCGGTTCTTTAGAATTGTAACGGACACTTTTTTTAAATCCTAATTCGTGCCTTTGATTTTTTTCACTTTCATCTTCAATTTTGGCTGTTTTCTTCCGCATCCAACAAGAGCATATAATCTCAGAAGGATTTGCTGTTTCTCTTATCGTGACGGCGGTTGGCCGAATCTATTGTGAGGATTTGAGGTACGATAATTTCTTTTTTCATGTTTCTTTATGCCTTAAGAAAATGCCCGCCAAAACTAATGTGATAGATGCGGTTCTTTTAATCCTAATTCGTGCCTTCGATTCTTTTCGCTTTCATCATTGTTTTCTTCTGCATCCAATAATTGTAACTGCATTATATAATTTCAGAAGGATTGAGGATTCTCTGATCGTGTTGCCAAATCTCTTTCTCCGGCTCCACTTTCTCCGCTGTCACAGCCAGTTTCACCTTCCTGAGGTACGATAATTTCTTTCTTTTTTATCACGTTTCTTTAAGGTTATATACAGTGTCCCCTTACACAGTAGATAACGATTTGAGATGGGCTTCTATTTTTTTTTTCTTTGTTTGAATGAAAGTTATAGGCGATTTGAATTTTTCTTCTGATAGGAAATGTAAAAGAATCTTTATCATCTTGATTTTGTGGATGCAGATTGGTGTCATCATTAAACTATTTACTTCCTTTCTGTTTTGTATACATTATTTCTTTTCTTTTCTTTTTTGGGATTCTAGACAAAGATCTAAAAACAACAAAGCTTTCCCAATAATATTACCATAATATTGGATACTAGGATAAGAGCACAAATTCCCAATAACTCAAAATTCTGCTTACAAATAAGTTAGTTCAATAAATTTTCAACATTCTAGGCTATAACAAGAGTTGATATGAAAGGATTTAAAAGTGAGGAAAAAGTTCTTTTACATTTATGGATTCGAAGCTATATGACGGTGAGCTAAGAGTTTTGAGATCTTAATTGCTTTGTTGGAGTGAAATCGTGTGGTTCCATGACATGAGTAGTTAGTTACGGAGTTTGAATTTGCTATTATCTGTTACTGTGGACACTGGATGGTAGTCCAAGGATTGTGAAAGATGAACAAGTGTAGGAAATAACTTGGCAGATAGGTATGCTTGTCCTAGCCAAACCAGTTCAAGTGTCTTTCTTTCAATACTATTCTTTCTTTGAATAAACTGTAAGATGTTATCAACAATATAATACAGGACCTCTTTTCTTTAAATTTGTAGAATACTTTTTAATTCTCTATGATTTTTTTTTTTAAATAAAAAATTGGAGAATAATATCCTATCCAATTATAGGGAGCCCGTTCTCTTATTGATTTCAGCCTCTATCTCTGACATGTTTTTTGTTTTTTTCCCCCTATGTTGTATACTTAATTATGTATTATGACACCAAGTTCTGATTTATTGACAGATTTCTGTATATGTATGTCTTAGAATATGGGTCGTGCAAAATTAGCCCTGAAACGTATCTCGAATGAGAGTGATCGTAAGTTAGCTTTCAAGAGGAGAAAGAAGGGAATAATGAAGAAAATGGCTGAATTTTCTACCATGTGCGGAGTTGATGCTTGCTTGATTATCTATGATGGCAACGGTGATGCTCAACCAGTGACTTGGCCCGAAAACTCTAGAAAGGTGCACTCCATCGTTGAAAAGTATGAGCTTACAAAGAATGAGAAACCGCATAAGAACTTTGATCTCGAAAACTTTTTTGAGAATAAGAAGAAGACGGTTGAATCTGAGATTTCCAAAGTGCAAAAAGATATCGTGAAGATTAAATATCCCACATGGCATCCAAGTTTCAATGGCCTAGAAGAAGAGCAGTTGAGTAATTTCATTGCTATGCTGGATACCAAGGTTGAAGCTTGTAAAAAAAGAATTAACATGTTGAAAAACAAGCATCAATCTGAAGCCAACATGAGTTCTATGCAGAACATGGCTCAATCAGAGAGTGCTGCCTCAGATTCCAGCCAACCAAATTTCACGCATAATATCACTCAAAGCCAAGACAGCATTATTCCTATGAAGCCAATTAATGATGAATACCAGCTAGCATCTTACCTACCTGAGCTTGATAAGGATTCTCAATCCCAAATGCTGAACTTCGATTCAAATCTTATGCAATTGATGGCCATGAAAACTAATCAAGTCAATGTGCCTCTGGGTTGTACCAACCAAGTTGGTGCTTTTGGAAATTCAAGGAATGAACTTGATGTTCCTGTAGATTGGACTAGTCAACTTGGTCAGCCACTGGATTGGGTTAGTCAACTTGGTGAAGTTGAAGCTTGGACTAGTGAACTTGGTGGGCTTGTGGATACGGGTAGTCCTCGTGAGTCTATAAATTGGACTAATCAGCTTGGTGGTTTTGGAAATTCAACTAATCAAATTGATGGGCCTGTAGATTGAACTAGTCCACTCGGTGAGCCATTGGACTGGTTTAGTCAACTTGGTGAAGTTGAAGATTGGACTATTCAACTTGGTGGGCTTATGGATACGGATAATCAACCTGATGAGTCTAAATTGGACTCATCAGTTTGGTGTGCCTATGATTGAGACGAACCATATGGCAGTTGCTCCAATATGAATTTTGCTTTTCGTGGTGTGTGTAATCGTTGTGGAACTGCTGGTGCTGCTGGTTTTGCAGGGGCTGCTGGCCGTGGGAAGGGACGTGCTGGATTTGGTCCCAATGATTGGCCTTGTCCAATGTATGATTGTGTCATTTTTTCCTTGTGTCCTTTTTCTTCTGTGTCTGGTTACTACATCCAAATTTCATTATTTCAGTGATGGCATTTGTAAATTTCTTACAAAATTATAAAACATGTTGGTCAGCTACATTAATACCTGCTTGTGTTCTATTATTTTGGAAGAAGTATTAGACTATTGGCAACCATTTTAAACATGAGTAAATTGATATACGATGGTGAGATATATGTTTATATTCATATTATACATACACACAACATATCTGTGTGCATAAAGATGGCTTAAACACTCTTACTGCTGCCTGTTTAATTGATGCCAATTCATCATATACCCTGCTTTTGCACTTTGCAAGGTTGGCTGCACGAGGTTTATAAATTTTTGTTGGAAACTGCACATACTCATCTTCATGTATTATCCCAATTGCGTTACCTCATCTGTTTGGTGACTCATCCTTCCCATGTGAATTCCATAGATTGTTCATTATAGGCATATGTGACTCTTCCCAGCATAGTTAACCAAGGCATTCCCAATATCATATTCAGATCAGCTTGCTCTGCCGCCCAATGATCAACAGAAAAATTATGACCTTGGAAGACTATGTGACATTAAGACGTTTTCTCTCACATAACAGAAAATCACCGTTGCCCATAAAAACCCGCATTTGGGTAGTATGAGTGATGGGAAATAATGCCCTGTTGAATAATAAACTTGATTTATTGACCTTAGTTGTTAAATGGCCCAACATCTAGAAATATTCAAGAGATATTTTGCCAAATTCTAGATTAATCTACTCTGGATTACTTCATGAAAATATTTAGAGAATAGTTGTATCTAGAAATCACCGTTCTTAATATCAAGGCTAGGAGATTGTGGAAAATTTTAGAGAATGATTTATAGCCCTTAAATGAAATTGTTTTGGTACAATCCTAGCCGTTGGTTAAGGAGATGCCACTAGTCTAAATAGGTGTGTTCTTCACCATTTTTTTTTTTTGATAAATTTGTTCTTCACCGTTTTATATCAACCCAAAGAAAAAAAAGTTGAGTAGAAATAAAGTATTATCTTCCTCCAAATCTTTCTAAATTTTTCCTTTTTTTAGCATTTAAAATATATTTATCCTTATAATAATTATCTTAAAAATTACACTATTTTACGGATAATATTTATTCAAGAATAACATAAAAGATTTGACATTAATGATATAATAAAAATATTTTTTTCTTAAAACTATTTTTTCAATCTTAACTCATTGTCAAGTTTTTTTTTTATACAAAAATTATTAAATAATTTTTATTTTATTTAATAAAATGATTTTCCCAATCAATTCATTGGATATTAAATTAATTCGTGGGATCCTATAAAAAAATAAAAAAAAATTCTACCCATAACTATTTTATGTACAACAATGAATGGTGCTTCTAGTTATCATACAAATGTGTTCCCAGACTCCTCACTTGGCAATTACAATGGAGGTTTGCAATCAATGCAACCCTATATAGATGATCCTGCATCACAAAATATTATTTTCAAGTATGAGAACATGCAGCAATGAGATGCTTTTCACACCCTGCTGCCGCCAGTGGCGGACCCACGCAAAGTGCGGTCATAAAAAATTTCATTTCAGTTTTTTTTTTTTTATAGTTCTTTATTTGTCTCTTGGTTAAAAAAAATATTAGTCTCGAGGTTTTTAAAAAAATTTAAGTGGATCAATTTAGTTAAAATCGTGATCCCTCATAAATTCAAAAAAACCTATATTAGTCCCTCAAAAAGACCAAAATGGGTCCACTTTGAATTTCATAGGAACCAGGTGACTAATTTTTTTTTATAATGGACTAAAGTGGGGATCGAATTTTTTGTTAGGGACAAAAAATAATATTTATTCTTATATTAGTTAGCAACGTAGCAACGTACGGAGATGATTAAAATAACGTAGCAACGCAAATTGATCACAGAGAAAACTTATTCTTCCTCCCCCGTCACGTACCCATTTCCATGCTCTCTTCATCCTTTATTTCCTTTTTTATTTTTATAAAAAGAGATGATTGATTGCAGGTCTGACATTCTCAAATAAGTTAATATCTAGAGACGTTTTGCTTGCCTTCTGTACAAGTAGTGTTGACTTTTTTATTCATCACTATAAAATAGAATGATGATGTATGGATATACTCGAATATATTCTCATATTTGTTTTGGAGGATTGGTAAGATTTAGGGGGAAAATAATTGTTTAAACTATTGTCTGCAGCTTGTTATGGAAGCAACTAGATTATGAGCGGGTTCAAGCATTAATTTAAATTTTTTTTACAAAAAAAAATTTTGAGAAACCCCTGCCACTAAATGTGCGGACATAAACAAATTTTTCTGAGTCCGCCAGTCACCCAGGGAATGAATTTGGGACATTAGGCTTCTTATTTAGTTGATGGACTTGACCTGTGTAAAACAAACTATCACTACTTTGATGATTGTCTACTACTTCTTGCTATCAGTATATGTTTCCATATTTTTTGTAGCCATTGTCTTCGGGTCTGTGAAGAAAATTTTGATCATCTTTCCAATGACTCTTCGATAGGTATGTAATTTTGATTAGATAGTCTAGGATTTTTGCAGGAATTTGTTAGTTATCTTGCAATGATATTATCACAATAACACAAAAAGAGGTAATATTACTTTCCATAATCATCTGACTAAATTTATATTCATTTAAAAAAGAAACTAAATTAATGACACTTATATCTTAAGTAAACATTTACTGTTAAATATTTTCTTTTTCCTTTCCTTGCTCGTTAACACAGAGTGAGAGGTTATTTATTGAAAGTAAGTCACATTCTTCCCTTATTAGGTAAATTACTATCTAGCAACATAACTTCAGCATTATTTATCTGCTGTTATATTAACATTCTACACCATTAAAGAGAAACAAATCTCACCCCCTCAGATTATAAAATATACGGAAAAATGTTTCTGCAGTTAATACAGATATGTTATCTGCATTTATTTTCAAAACGACGTCGTTTTGGTATTGAAATCTTAAAAAATTATAAATATAAAGACTATTATAACCCTGAAATAAATTAAAATTACAAAAACACCATGATTTCCGCCTCAAAACGACGTCGTATTGGCTTACTGCAGATAAGTTATCTGCAGTAACTGCAGAAAAAATGAACCCTAAAATATATCAATTCTCTATAAATATCTTATTCAAAATTGCCCAAGGTGTAGGGGTGTGCAAAATAACCAAAAAACTGAATCGAACCGAACCGCCTTTAAAATAATCGATTTTTAAAAATCAGTTCAGGAACCGAATCGGTTTTTAAAGAACCAGTTCATGAACCGAACCGGTTTTTACAACAAGTTCAAGAACCGAACCATTTTGAACCGACCGAACCGAACCGTTTCCGAACCGAACCGTTTTCAAACCAAACCAAATTGATTTTTATAACTTTATTTTTAATTTTTTAATTTTTTTCTTTTCAAAAGAGGGTTGACCCGAACCGGTTCCGAACCGAACCGAACCACTTCCGAGCCGAACCAGTTTTGAACCGAACCGAACCACTTCCGAATCGAACCATTTAAACCGGTTCGATTTTTAAAAAAATCTGGTTCGGTTCGACCAATGCACATCCCTACCTAGGTGATTGAACAGAAGAGGTAAGCTCTGACATGAAAAGTGTCCACACATTTTTCCTTCCCCCTCAAAAGATAGTCTGGAAAGTGTTTCATTTAAATTTGTATAATAATATCTTATTCAAAATTTTCAATTATCGAAAATATATTCTCTCAATAATAATACTACAACGTTATTGAATTATGCCTCCTGACCCGGAACTCTTATTTAATTTATATAATAACCCACATCAGTAAATTGATTAATTATCGAATTAATCATGAAATTAATTAAGGATTAAGGGATAATTATATGATAAATATATGTAAGTCCAATTATGTCAAACAAGTCATTTAGGATCAAAAATATTAATTTGATCAGTTTTATGGGTCAATGCGCAATTATGGCATGTTTAGGGTCTAAAGTGCAATTTTGCAAGAGTTAGTCTAAACTCAATTATGACCACTTAACATGATTATTTAGAGGAGTTTAGGATATGAAAATCATGTCACAAGAATTTAATTATGTTTGTGGAATTAAGTTTTAAGTGAGTTAAAATACTAACAAGTAGAATAGGTTTTAAGTCAAAAAGACAACATGAACAATTTTAAACCACTTTTCCACTACAAATTAAGTCATTCTCTCTCTTTCACGTGTCTGCCCCTCTCCCCTGCTCTCCCATGGTAGATGCTCAAAAGAGAAGAAGGCAAGCTCATATATTTTGATTTAAGCCATTTTCTCACTTTTTCTATCACACAAAAATTGAAGCTTAGGGCCTTAGGAACCTAACCCACCAATTGGTTTTTCTTGGGTAGCTCCAAAATGAGATATTTCTCCTCTTCTTCTCTCCTTGGTACTATTCATACAGCTGAATAAATGGGTGTTTTAATGCTTTGGTCTTGCTGGTTTGATCTCTAGGTTGTTGTGAACCTTTGAGGGTAAGAAACACTACTTTAAGGATTGATTTTTGGGGCTGGAAATTATGTTCCTATGGATGTTCTTGTGGCAGAAAAATGGATTTTTAGGGATTAATTTATGGTATGTTTTGACTGAGAAAAATATAGCTTAGTTGGTGCATTATTGGAAAATGACAAGAGTT